TACAAGCATTTTGATCAAAATTTAGCTTTTCTGTGCATGTTCCATCTGTTACGTATAGTTCTATGTATAACTTCATGTGTCTAATGTCTCATTAGTGTCTTAAGTCTCCATCCAGGATAGTCCTGTTGAATATCAAATTGACCCATGGGTCACCTTCAGACACCTTCCCTTTGCACACCTGCACTAGCAACCAGTTTGTTGACCTCAGCCAAACTTTTTCCCAGCCTTCATCTTTGCCAATTTGTTCTTTTTATATGCTAATTTCTCAGTCATTGCTTTACTACTTTCTGGCCCTCCCTCTGTGCTCTGTGCGCCTGACTTCATTGAAACTGCCTTTCTCCAGGAGACTTGGTAACTGAAGGGTATTGGGGTTGGTTATAGTGTTTCTCATTTTCCTGACATTTTTCCTCCCAGGCATTTGAAAGATCTTCATGGCCTGATAGGATTTCCTTCCAGAAAGATGGCTGCCGATATGTCTTGATCTCATCTCAATTCATGCCTAGACTCCTCGTGATAAGGAGGATGGACTTTTCTGTGTGTATTGTTTTAACACACTGTGTGTGTTCCTGGCATTCTTTGGTGCAAACACTTGTCATGTTTCTTTTCAGGTTCTGAAAACAGATGAATCATGCTCCATTGTTCCAGTGATATTTGTCAAGTTGCTTTTCTTTCTCTCTTTCTTTCATTTTTTTAAAAATCTAGCACTCTAGAAATAGACTCAATGTTTGGTATTATAATTGGGATTTTTAATGGTGTAAGTCTATAATCTAGAAGCCTCAAGAAGGCAGGTGCAACCATCCTCCCCAATTTACTCATTGTGGCCACATTGAAAAGAGAAACATAAAATGGTCCAGTTGACCCCTGTGCCTTTCAGTGATACTGACATGAGGTTTAGACTTAAACAGAGGGTAAGAGATGTGCATGACAAAGCAGTCTTGGTCAAAGGATGGTCTTACCTATCTCTGATTCATCATGGTCTCAGCTCCTGTCCTATAAGGAAAACCTACAAAGTAGTCTGATAAGTCACTAATCTGTCAGTCATTTGTCACCAGTGCTGTCTTGGGACCTATCTGGTTTCAGCAAGATGATTACCTTTGTTCTTGAGCTCAGCTTGACTCTCATGGATAATTGTCCCTATCTGGGGAGTGGTTCATCTTGAGAGCATTAGCTTCTTCCAGAATTCAAGGTGATTCAAGACAAAAAATTAAGGACAAATAAGTCAGCTCTGTATGTTTGGCCAAAACAGGATACTAAACAGAAGCAGAGGTGTCAGGCTCTCATTAGACTTTTCAGTTTCTTGGATTTAAGCCATGAGTGAGTGCTGCACACTAAAAGCAGTCTCTAAGTTCATATGAGTGTTTGCAGTTAGTCTGAGAGCGTCACAATGAGTACTGTCCAAGGTAGTCAAAGTGCTCAACTGAGTACTGCTCATTAGGAGTTAGGCAACCTATACAGACTCTGTTAATATCTAGCACAACCTGTGTCATGACAGACAAGGAGCAAATAACCTCTTGAATCTTACTACTAACCATATAGAGACCCTGGAGTGGGAAAGGCTTGGTCATTTTGAAGACCTCTATGACTTAGCTGCTAGAGAGCACATGCATTTTGCTGTCAGGGAGCAGGTATTGTGATTTGTTCAGTGCCATCTTTCCCTGTCCCTTGGACTTCCACCCTCCTTATCACTGGGGCTATAGAAGAAGCAAAATGTTCTTCAGTGGCCCTGCACTGTACTGAAGCAATATGAGAGTAGCTGTACAAAGAACTGTCACTTGGAGAATAAAGAGATACTGAAGCAGGAACCCATAATGTCCCCACTCTTCTCTAACTCCTCTTCTATCCCTTGATTCATGATCTGCCTTCAGTAGCTTTAGCATACATTCTCGGTACCACATCTGGACAACTGACAGCAATTATGTAACCACATAGTACTTTATCAGTGTGTGTGTGTGTGTGTGTGTGTGTGTGTGTGTGTGTGTGTGTGTGTCTGTGTGTGTATGTGTCTGTGTCTGTGTCTGTGTGTCTGTATGTGCATGCACACAAGTTAGGGAGCAGGTTTACAGAATAGGTTCCCTCCTACTTTCAGTGGGTTTGCTAGGCTTGCTCAGCAATGGCCTTTATCCACTCACCATGGTATTCCTTCTCAAAAGACAAACAAAAATTTAGGATGTGTGTTTTTGGAAAGCCAGAGAAAGAGGGTGTGTCACACTCTTCTGCTCAGGTGGCTTTGAGAGAGCCATGTAACAGGTAGCAGAGTCTGTCAGGCTCACATCTTCTTGGCCAAGTTTCTACACAAACCGAGTCTAGGCTGGCTGTGTAGTCAAGCCTGTCATGATAGCCAGGCATGTTAGTAAATTTAAAGTTTACATACACAGTTCACCTTCTTACTGAGTACTTTATTATTATTATTATTATAAATTGCCTACATGTACAGTTTTTCTTCTTACTAAGTATTAATTATTATTAATAGCAATACTAGTAGTAATTATTTTATTATTTGCCTGTTGGGAGGCAGTAGTGGCTGTTGGTGGTTGGGACAGTTTAGATTCCCCAATCTCTCTGAGAGAAAGCCTTCTGGCAGGTCACAGGGTCTAAGCCTAGGTCCAGCCAACAGGGGCTCTGTGGGGACCCTATTCTTCCTGTGTTCCTTTTCCTCTTACTCATGAAGATGCTGCTGTTTGAGTTTGAAGAGGCCAGCAGGGTGTATTCCAAACTCTTGTCACTGATTTGATTAAATAAGTGACACATTATTCCAAAGTGGAAGCAACTGGGACAAATTAGTGTCAGTTACTCTGGCCATCCTGCTGCAGGGAAGATATTGCTTTCATGGGAGTGCTGAGATCCTAACTTCTCACAGAATGAAGGTACTGTTTGCAAGGACTTTGATTTTCCTTTCATAAGACCCAACATTTGGTGGCATAGGACTGTTTATTGAGCCCTAATAGCAGCTCTACATTCATACACATGGAACCAACTGGACAGGGATCTGTGCCTGATTATCATTTATGAATGAAGAGGACCCTCCCCTCTGCTGTTACCACACCCCATCCCTCTGCAGCTTTCTGAGAATGAGGTCAGGACCAGGATCTAGCTGCTTATGGCTCAGAAATAGCAGGCCAGCTCCAAATTAATCTGACGCTATTTGTTGTAGGATGAAAAGCTTGCTTATAGTTTTGTTTCTGGTATACCGTTGCACACAAGCTGTGAATGAACCCATGCGAAGAGCAGAAGCAGAGGCAAGCCAGCCAAGAGCTAGTCTATTGGTAGCTGGTGGTTGCAGACAAACTGCAGGAGCTGTCTTGCATTCAATGGGAGCCTTGATTTGAAAAGCAAAGTGGAAGAATGAAATGAACCCCAGTGGTGTAGTACTCTAACCACTGCTCTTGAGAAAGAAATGCTAGCTGTTGCTGAGAACACTGTGTGTCCCTTGTGTTGTGCCCAGTTATTTTTCACACTGTGTGGCCAGCTGATCATCTCTCTCCTGTGGTTCCTTGAGGGGGTTTGCAGTGTTTTAATGAGTATTACATATATACTGCATTTTATATCAATCATATTAACATACACAGGAAAACACAAGCATGTGTTGTGCAATTTCCTCTTACATACCCACACCCACCCACCCACACGCAGACACACACACACACACACACACACACACGCACAGGCACACAATTGCAACACAGCTTAATTATACTTAGTCTTAGCAGAAGTAGGGGTTACCTTCTGTCCATCATCCCAGGCCAGCCAGATTTCTGCATATGAATCCTGGGGGGACTTGCACTTCTAAGGATCTTGCCTATGGTCTCTTTAGGAGTTGTGTATATTTACAGGGCAGGGTTGAGCAACATGCAGGCACTGTGTATGGTGTTGGTGTCTTTCATTTTTCTATGCTCAGCCTTAATTGCTGGCTGTTAGTGTCTTTTTTACTTGGACCATCTTTTATTGGCATTAATTTTCTCCTCTGTGATAGATGAAATAAACACACTGGAAAATTCAGTGAGGGCTAGAGGTGTCAGTAGCAGCCTGATCTTCTCCAGGTTCCTTCAGTGGACTTCTGTGTGCCAGGTGTGCATTGAAGGAGATGTCAAAGCTGGCTTTTATATTTGTGATGATTGATTTTGAACGAGAGCAAAAAAGCTTAAAAATTGTCATCTAACTAACTAACTGGTCAGATGTATAACCTATTTGGGGTTTTTTCATTTAATGTTTTTCCTATGTGCTTGAGAAATCTTATAAACAAACTCAGAATTGAGAAAATTTATATTGATATAGAAGTGTGTGTGTTTGTGTGCGTTGCTCATGCACGCACACACACATGCATAAATATTTCTTTACACATGCACCCAAAGGGTCATCTATAGTAGCAAATGTGTGCTTTTTCAAATGCATATTTCTTATGTAGAGACAGAAAGCAGATTAGTGACTGTCTGGGCTCAGAGGATAGAACAGGGATTAATTTCACAAGCACGAAAGATCTTATTGAGATGATAAAAATGTTCTGAAACTGGATCACGGTGGTGCCTATAAACTGGTAAATTTTGCAAATGTTACTAAAGAGTTATGTGCTCAAAATGGATGTATTTTATACCTCAACAAGTCTGTTAAAAGTTATCATTCCCTTTAAATCCTAGGATTGGTAGAGGATGAAAAACTACATCCTTCCAAGTTTTTTGACTCTCTCTCCCCCATGAAGTTTCTCCCCCATTCAGTGGTGGAGAAGCTGGTCTGAAAGGTAACAAGGCAGGATCAAAAATCCAAGAACACAGGATGGAAAAATCTGCCCTGACCCCTACTGGCAAGGAGCAAGGTTACTCTCACTGTTGGGTGAGGAGTCAATGTCTGGATTGTCACAGGGCAGGAAGCACATGAGCACAGGAGATGCAGAAGCAGGTCCCTGGAGGTAGTAGTCACTGTGCTTCAAGCAGTTGTTATGGCCACTCAGAAATGCAAACCTTCTACTTCCAACCCTTAAGTGATGGAGTGTCTCTCTTCTTTTGCAGGTTGTGTTAGTCTTTGCTCTCAGCATTGGTGCCCTTGTAATATACTTCATAGACTCGTCAAAGTGAGTATGCATATATGTTATCTTACCTCTTTTCCCTCTAGGGCAATTATGACCCTTTACATTGATGAGCATATTTAACTTAACACTAGCATTACCAAGAATCTCCTGAGTGCTGAAGACTTAGAGGAAGGCAGGGCTTCCCTGTGCTTCATTTATGAATGGGGAAAAGTTCTCTTAGAAGAAAGGCTATGTTGGTGCTGATTGTATGGAAGGGAGAGGCACTTGGGGACCAAACCTTGTTGAGTATGTATTTGTAATGCACTGTTTCCTGATTGAGTATTTAAACCAAAGATGCCAAGAGGATAAGAGGGCTCCTATGGGAGTGTGCAAGCTCTGGGAGAGGGTGACAGAGTCCAACAGATGAGTCAGAGCCATTCTGGCCACAGCCATAGGATCTTTTTCTCATCTAGAGTTAGATCATATTGAAAGATAGATTAGAAACCCTAGTGCTAGGATTCCACCTGACAAGTGAATATATAGCTGAATCAACGGTCTCTGTGCTTCTTCACTTGTGAAACTAAGGAAATGGGATAAGGCATTCATGAGGACTCCCAGAGCTAGTGGGCTATGACTCCCTGAGAACCTGTAGAGAATGGTGCTCATGCAGACCCTTGGAGTGGTAGTTTAATGATCTGGTACTCCCAGGGTAAGCATGGTTCACAGATGATGAACCTTCGGGATGCTGAAGAAACCAGGCACCATGGCTACCCTTAATGCTGTGAGGACCACTACTGGATACATCACTCTTTCCAACTCTCCTATTGCAGTCTCAAAAGTTGACAGCATCTGAGACTCACAGATCTGGGGATAGACTTGCTTTTCTGTTGTGGCACAAACGTGACAGCTCTGGCCAAGGACAAGAGCCCTTGAGCTTGCAATCCTCATTGTTTACTTTGAGAGTGGTTTTCATTCCTCTAATGTTAATCCTGACTAGGTCCTAGCCTTTGAGCCTAGGATACCTGCCTTGTGTTCCTGTTGGATCAGACTCTGGTGTGCCACAATTTTGAGCTCAGTGATCTTTTTCCTATGGTGTGGTATGGTGGCAATTTGATGCACACCTAAATTCTGAATTTCCCAGAGCTATCTGGTCACCAGCCAGGGGATTTTATGCATTTGACTATGGAGGCCAAACTGTCATGTCAAGGAAAACAAAAAAGAAACACGTCTTCTCATCCGTGTCTGGAATCTGCCAAGAGTAAGATTTTCAGAAGTCACCTAGCCTACCTCAGACACAAGGCTGGGCCCTCACCTGTCTTGAGCCGTGAGTCCTTTAAATAGTCTCACTGGACAAGAATATGTGTGTTCTCTTCATCTGAAATTGCTAGTCAAGAAAGAAGAGCGCCATTCAGTCTGGAAGTCTTCAGTTCTTCTGTGAGTGAAGGTAAGCTCTCTTTTTACATTTACTAAGAGATTCTGGACCACATTTGAAATGAACTGGCACTCTCAAGCCCTTGGTCATCTTTCTCCAATCTCTCTCCAGGGGTCATGGGGTATATACCCTGCCAACGCCTGTGCTGGGGCTTAGGAAAGAGGTTCGGATATGTAGTCTGTGTGTCCCCAGAGAGTACACACTTATGTGAAGGTGAGTGTGGCGGTCTGCTAAAAGGACAGAGACCTAGACTGTGCCTCCATTTCCTTTGTCTCCCTTTCTGCTCCCATGTATGTCATGGTAATAAAATATTTCTGGCAGATGGATTTGGATGGTGTCTTTTTTAAAACTGTGTCTGCTATGAGTCAAATCAATCTTTGGCTTTGTAGAGTCTGGTCATCCTTGGGTAAGGATGATAGAGCATGTTGTTCGCCTAGGTTGACACTCTTCACAAGTGCCTCCCCAACCTACTCCAGTCCTTTGGGGTGAGTCCTGAAATTCCTTAGTCTTTATGAAGTTGATACTTGAAACCCTCAGTGATTCTGGTTCTTTTAGGGTAATTCAAGGAGTCTATACTAAGGCTGATCTTTAGTTCTGGTTTTCAATCTTCCCAGACCCCTCCAAAAAAAGTCAGTAATCTTGGAGATTAGATTGTTCTCCTTCTCAATGGAGGCTGACCAAGCCTTAACATGGATTCAGCCTTTCTCTCCATGATCACTAAGCAAACTGTGTGGCTCTTTGGGTGTTTTTTTCTTTGTTTAGCAGAATACCTGTTGTTACATACATAACTCTGCTTTTCATGTCTGCTTCTTCATCTGGCCTTCAGATCATAGCCTAGGACTCTTGAATTGTGGAGAAGCCAGTGAGCAGCCTATACCGAGAATTCTCCATTTTCCCATCCAGGTCGAGCAGCATGCTTAGGCTAAAGAGATGAATTAAAGTAAAATCTATGATATTGTTACCTTTATGATAAGTCTTTAAAGTCATAGTTAGAACACCACATGCAATCCATTAATCAAATTGCAATCAAGTTTAGTGAATGCGATGAGATGACACTCTACATATAAACTACACATGGAACTAGGATGGGAAAGTAGAAGGCAAATTTTTGTAGTCTACCTTTTTCATTCAAAACTACTTCTTGCTTAATAGAAATGGCTTGGCTGGCCATCTTAGAAAGCAGGTTAAATTTCGCTTAAATATTATACCAAATCATTGCCCTGAGAAAAATACTTGGTATTCTGGAGATGAATTTGAATTAGTGTTAACCCTCTACAAATAAATCAGAGTGAACCTTGCTAGATTGACGTGGTTTGCAAAATTGTTCTCTTATTATACTTAACCAGAGCTGTCTTCACGTACGTGATAGATTGGAAATCTCCCAGTTACAAAAGCTCAAGATGCAAAGCTTTCCACACGTGGCCCTTTGGGCAGTGCAAAGAGGGATTGGGGAGATGACCTGGTGGTAAGGGCATCTACTGATGCTTATGAGGACCCAAGGTCAAGTCACCAAGGCATTTCTGAAAAGCTGAGCATGGCCTGAAACTCCAGAGCTTTGGGGAGATGGAGACAGGAAGACCCCTGAACTTGCTTGGCAGCCATCTTAGCTCTGGGTTTACTGAGAGACCCTGCCTTAAAGGTGTAAGTCAGAGGGTGAGAAAGCAGCACACCTAACATTTTCTCTTTATCTCTGCTTGCACATGTATCACACATGCATACACTACACAAACACAGAGAGAAAGAGAACCACAACAGGTGCATATGGGCATATAAAACAGGTCCCAGGGGTGGACTCAGACAGCTGATATCAGAGAGGCCAATTTAGACTGTACACACAGGCAAGCAGAGTGGATGCTTATTCTACCTTAGTGAGTCAGCAGAAAGACAAGGAAGTTCAGGTTAACTTTATGATTGGTGGGTATAATTGTAATTGGGGATGTCCCTAGCCTTTCAAAATTCACTCAACTCTGGTGATTCCACACATCTTTGCTTTTGTCTTAGTCCAAGACAGACAGATCACCAAGTGGACCTTCCTCAATGAGGTGTTTGAGAAGCCCTCCTTTTGGTCTTTATCTCCTTTATGTGGTCTCTATGGGAAGACTCATTTGGGTCATCTGCAGTGATCACCATCTATCTGAGAAAGATTGTCCTGGAGCCTGTAGATAAAGAGAATCCAATTAAAATGGGTTCAAATGGTGCACCATCATCCCAGTGAAAGACACTAGAAAGATTCAAATAAAGGAGAACATTATAGCAGGACTTGGTTGAGATATCTGTAATATCAATGCATTCAGGAGACCTGTAATCTTATCCCTTCAAAGGTCCATGTTTTACAGATTCCTCACTTCTTAATTCTGACCCTGACTCTGCAGGTACTCCTTCTCCTATGGACCCTGATTTCTATAACACAGAGACTTTTTAAAAAAAAAATGTATGACCAGGATCTCAACAGGTAGAAGCATCTACTACATAAACCTACCAACTGGGATGTAATTCCTGAAACCCACATTTTATAAGGCAGAAGTGGTGATGTGCTTCTGTAAAGCTAGCATTCCTGTGGTGAGATGGGAAGTGGAGATAGGAGAACCCTCTAGAAGCGCATGGGCCAGTTGGGCACAGCGTTAGAAACAAGAGAAAGGCTGCCTCAATGTACCGGGAGGTGAGAACATGTTCCTGAAAGTTTTCTTCTAAACCCCACACCTGTGCTGTGGGACCTATGTCCCCATACACATGCACACACATGACACACACAAACATATGCACACACATATATACACACACTGAATAGTTTTTTAATTTGTGTAACCCAGTCAGATGTGCCCTTCAAGGTCCTAAGAATGTTAATACCACTGTTGCTTGCTTCTTCTCTATTCTTGACACCAGACCAAATACTTATGAAATATATAAGTATTATTAAGGAGACCTTATTATAATGTCAGCATGGGGGCCAGAACTCATGGATGGCATAAGGCAGCAGTCCCTGCTGCTTCATTCTGTAATTTTAAAAGAAAGTTGGAAGAGACAGCCACTCTGAAAGCTCTGTGCATCTGCATTTTTCCAGGGGTATTCTGGGAAAGGATGACTCACATGTGGGGAGATATTTATTCCTTTGATTCATGCTTAAATGCTGCTCCTTCTTATGCTTCAGTTACGTGGATTATGAATATTTAATGCTGCATATACTGGAAATGAAGGTCAGGTCCTGCTCACTGGCGACTTCAAAGCAGCCTCGATTCTGAAAGGCATACCACCTGCTGTTAGCAGAGTAAAGCAGAAAGGTTATGCATTGTTAAAAATCTTCCTTAATGACTCTATCTGCACCAAAATGGCTGGTGCACAGTTGGGGCTGCCTTTTCTGGCTTTGCCAGCTTTTGCTCTTGGCTTCTGGTTTAAGGCCTGCCACTTGAGTGAGTAGGACATTTGGAAGGTGGAGGAAACCATAGCACACATTTTGTAGCACATCCTGTCCAAGTGCTCCATTGCAAGGGAATGCCTGCTTCTTGGTCTTCATAAATTTCATTTATATTCATTCATTCATTCATTCATTCATTCATTCATTCATTCACTTTCACAGCTTCAGTGTGAAAATCTTAAATACTTTCCAGGTAGTGACAGTGCTTATGGTTAAACA